TTCTATCCTCGCTTAAAACTTTCATCGTCCTGTTCAATCGCTTCTCATTTTCGTCGCTATCATCGATCTCAATCAAGTTCTATTGCTCTCAACACCCGCAAACTCCAGCTGTTTGTGTGTCGACATTAGCTCAATCGCTGTGAAGCGACTCATCGAAGTTGTTCCTCGTCTGGTTTTGATTTCGATATCATACTCCGCTCAATTCATTGAGTGTTCCTCTGTACGGAACAGTGGCTCGCCTAAGACATCATCTTCATCTCGATCTTCATAAGTATTACCGTCAGTGATTCGAATTTATCAGAAAATATGCTCAAACCGTTCGACTACGAGTAGTGTGAAATTCGTTCGTGGCTTTCAACTTTCCCAAGCGACTGACTACTATCTCAACGCTACCTACAGAAGATGAAATCGAGGATTCGTTCTCCCGTCATACGCTTAAAAATTTAGATCTCTGTTCCCTTCTTCAAGATTGGTGGTTGGGGCTTTGGTGTTCCGTGTTTCCTTCTCTTCGAGACTCCGATACGAGGCGTTCAGCGTGCTCTCCATTTTGAGATTCCAATTTCCACTCGCTTTCCGGAGTATCGGCGAGCGATGAAAACATCGTGTTGAAGTTCGTCGAACAGCGGTTAGCAACGGTGATTTCGAATTTCTGAAGGAATCATCCGAGACAGTCAACATCGGAGCCGTTGAATACGTGGCAAGCTCGATCCGTTGCCCCGTGTGAGGAACTCGAGTCGAATCAAGACTCTCTGCCCGAGCGGACGCTAAGGCGATCGACACCCGCTCTACTCGAGCGTCTTGTGGTTCCATCAGGCAGTCGGCTGATTGGTCTCCTTACAACGCGTTCGAGGCTTTCACTGTGCGTCTGCATGCTGATTTGTGTTTTCGTCTTGAGCCTGTTTTGGGTCTGCGATCTCGAATCTTTCAAACTATCGAATTTGAACACATTATTCAAAGTTCAGTCCTCGGTCGTTCACAAGCGAGCAAAACGCGCTCACTCAGCTCACTCATCCATCGTTTCCCTCGATCGGAGAATTATTGAGACTCCCTATCAGCACCGATCCTGCCTCGCATCGGAGACCCGTCGCGCTTCGACATCTGACGATTCAATGATCAGCAGTCATTCGAGAGAGACCGATCTCAGGCTAGAAACTCGGGTTCAATTAGAGAAGCTCGCAGGATGTTCTCCGCCGAAAAGCGGAATCGCATCGATTCGAAAAGACAGTAATTTATACGCGTCGATCGGAACAAGAACTCAATGCCGAGACACTGCCATCTGTTCCGGGAAGAACCGGCAGGTATGCCTCCGTTCGAGTGATTCGGTCGACATCGTTTCTTCATGAAAAACAGCCGAATTAGTGGTCAGAAGACCACGCATGATTCATATGACTCCCGGATCCGAGGGCGGGAATTCTCTAAGAATGCGAGCGGGGACCCCGTTCTGCTTCATCAGGATATTGAGGTATGTACACTCGTGAACGAAGAGATTTGGTGGGGTCGTCAAGCAATAATTTCAATCCTTGCCGGACGGCCGGTTCGTCCGCTCGCCGTTGTCCAAGGCGGTCTGCCAGAAACGATCTCCTTCCTACGTGACTCCATTAGTCAGGCCGATGTTTCACCTTCTCGCCTCACCGAGCGGCTGCTTACCTAGTAGGCCCAGTTATTTCACTGAGAACTACTTTCGCCCACGGTGGTCGACGACGCTTGCAGCACCAACACTTTTCCCGCTGATTTTTCTCGTCATTCCACCTGACGGCTCGACGCAGGTACTCTGCCGATTTCATTCGACACTCTTTTCGCTACCCTCCCCGTCAAAGAGACGTCGCGCGAGGGGCATCAGGAATGAAGGAATTTTGGTCTGGACCCGCGCTCGCTCTGGGTCGTCTCGATTTTGGGTACCATGGGATCGACACCACTTCGTCGAACGTCCGTGTACGTATGTATGTCGAAGTCGGAGTTCGCATGAATACCTGATGTGGACCCCTCATCTCACTCCGGAGATCGCGATTCCGGGTGAATCGCAAGTCTTGCCGACGGGCCGCCATCCTGTGTGAATCAAAAATTAATATGATGCATCTCCATCGTTGCAATCGACGTCCGAGATTATAGCAGAAAAAGTAACCCGTTGACAGCCTCTGAGCGCCTCGGATACCCCATCGGGAAGCGTCAGTACGAATGATCGGTTCCGACTCGCTTTTCGCCGCCCCAGTGAAGCCAGCTGCGGGTTAAGTGTCATCTCCTAACTGAGAGGAACGCTCATCACAGCATTCAAGAGCTTCGATGCCCGTCTGTTTTAAGTTTCCGATGAAGTGGTCAGAGTACCGCCGAATCGGACGTGCCCCGTTCGTCATGCCCCGGGCTCGAATCCGGCAAGGGAAAGGGTCGTCTCCCCAGCTCCCGACCCCGGTTTTCCCCATGAATTCTCCATGTTGACTACCTGCTTCGGAACATTTGACCGTCGGCATTCGTAAGGCGGTGTGAATGCTCAAGAGACACCCCACCAGGTACGGGCTCGAGCTACACGCTCCGATGCGCAACACATGGCTCCTTAGATAGGTAAGAAGGTAGATGAATGGAATCGATACTGTGGCTAGCTCGATATTGAATTGATAGTTACTTAGTCCGTGAGTAGATAGTTGGATACTTAGATTGATGATCGACAGATAGTCTGAAGATATATCGACATATCCCGACAAGAAAGACGAGTAGAAATGTCGCTCGGTGAGATTGCTTACTCCTGGCATTACGCTGGATGAGATCTTCGTGTCAGCTCGTCAGTCTGTCTCGGTTTTCCCGAAAGATCTCTCGATCTACGAGAGCGTCGAGCACGTAATCCTCGATTGAGCTCGTCTTTGTTCTGGAGGGACCGGCGGGTGTTGGACAGGAGCTTGTCGAGGTGAAGGCAGCGCACTCTCGAAATCATCGTTTGATTTTTTCTCCTACTCGCGTCGGAATATTCCCCACAAAAGTCCTCGACATCCTCCAGTTCAACCTCCGCTGTTTCCGATTCCTCAGTCGGATGTGCAGACGTAAGCAAACGACCTACCGCTCTTCGCTCCCGGACCCGATCCCGCATAGTTGAATTCTTCGATTCCCACCTCAGATCAAAGGGGTGGGTAGGTGAATGATTGACTCATCATTTTGTCCAAACTTCGTAAATCTATCGACATCTGGTCGACACTGACATTGATTGCACATTCTGGAAACGACCGGCCATAGAATCACTCGTAGTTGTAATCTCCCTCATCCGCTCCTTCGACAGCTATTCCTCTGCCGTTTTCTCGTGTCCTTCATACCGACTTCCTATCTACATGGATTTATGAACTTATCGAGCTGCAGTGTTGTTGGTGATCGAGCCGTCGTGTCCTCTGGTCTCATCTTCAGGTCTCTTTATTTCTGTCGACTACGACGACTGCGACAACAGTCTCCGGATCGGCAGCGTACTCGACTGCATTCTCGATCTCCCGGCTTACATGCACCTCTTGCACATCACTAGAATCATCGCACGCAGTATTAACGACTCCGGCTCCACCGATCGTCAGATCCGATGGGCCTTTCCAAGTTTTGTAAAATCGCTCCTCCGTTGATATATTATCCTTAATAGTAATATTATATTACTCTAATCGACGCCGCCATCGTCATTTTCACCGTCGACTTCATCAGAATTGTTATTGTTATTATTTTATATCTCAGCTTCACCTTTCATGAGGCTCTGTTCCGTTCCCTCTTTCCCATCGACAAAGGAACTAAGACGGAGAACGGAACACCAAACGACGCAGGCGTGATCACGCACAAAGTTCTTCCTGCTCTCAGTTCCTGTTAGCGTATGTTTTCTTTTGAAATTTCTCTGAAGCCACTCATGATCTCACGGAGAAAATGCAAACGAAAAGAAAGATTCACGGTGTGATTCTCGCCGAAACATCAGAGAAAAAACGAGGAAAACTCATATCAACCAACTCACTTGATCACCGATGCTCACTCGGATAGATCTTCGAAATATCGATCGGCTCCATCCTCGGGATCGGGTGCCTGCTCTCGCGAAATCGAGACGACGCCTCGGCCGTGCATACCACCGCTGACCGGGACGTCTATATCAGTAATAATCATCCTCAGAATAATAATAATAATGTCCTCGAAAATATAATAAAGACTATTACTCATAGAAAAATCTACACATTGTGACGCCGTGACAGGGCCGTTTGTTATATGGGTGGGGGATTGGAGGTAGGGTTTCGTGGCATTCAAGTCGCTGGTTCCGCTTGCCTGCTCTTCCACCCTTTGTTCTTGTTTCGTCCTTCTTCTGTATGGTTTGTAGCTGTTGTCCTCGATTCCCGTGTCGTCTCTTTGTCTGTCTGTTCGTCCGCCCGTTAGCTTGTATGCGTGTGTCTGTTGGTTTGTGTTACTTCATATCTTCGCTCAGGATCCGACGACAGAGCTCCAAGTTGATAGCGGACCTGTTGTTGTTGATGTTGTGTCATTCTGTGGGTTCAAGTTTCACCATCTTTTCACTGATTTCATTATGTTTCTTCTCGTCATCGTCATGTACAATGAATTGCCTTCCTCTCACAGACTGACGGCCTCGTTATCCTCATCTTGATATATCATATTCTTCGCCCTCGTTTGCTTGTTGCTCTTCGTTTGCTCCCCAAATCGCCACTTCTTCCTTCTTTCTCATGATCATCATTATTCAATACATTCATTGAGTCTATCAGGTCTAAGTTTTCTTTTGAATACAACTTTTCGTATTTTCCGCCCCGCCCCCCCCCCCGCCTCTGTCCCTTCCCAGAACCGAATCACAACTACCGAAATGTCCTTCTCTAGAATCAGCGTTCTGTGGTCTCTCTCGTGAGTTCGTCACCGCCACCACCACTTAGGCCAGTGGATCGACTCGTTCCTTGTTTGCGTAATCGCTTGTTCCTCGCTAACTTCCTCGTTCGCATTCATCCATTCAACCATCTATTACTTTCACGTTCCGCTCCCAGCGCTCGCAGGCGCACTTCTTAAAGCTTGTCCTTTTTCGTGGAAGCCACGATCACCGACGTCGGCTGACCGGCTGTTTGAGTTAAGCAGAGACGTTTCGTGGAGATGGTGACTCCGCCATCGGATGTGAGGCTCTGAATCGACGAGTGGTCATCGGTATCGCTGTGGTTCGAGCCGCTGTTGTAGCCGAGGATGTCAACTTCATCTGGAATTTCAAGGGAACGTTGTTAGAATCAGTCGAGCGACTACTAATACGCCGCAAGCCAGCCAGCCCGCCCCCGCCAGCATCACCCGCTGCTGACACCGATGTCGAGCGAAGCATCATCGGTGGCGGCGGCGGCGGCAGCAGCGGGAATGGCAGCTCGGCGACCAACAATAGAATCACATCGCCGACGGCTATCAACTTAGCCCGATCACGTTCGTTAGAGCGACTTTTTCTATAGTTCGGAGGACTCCCTCACTCACAATCTACACTTCCAGCAGCAGCAGGAGATTAGATCAAAAATACTCAGCGTTTCCCGCCCTTTCCTGCGGCGAGCCTCACCCGCCCTCCGCGACGCGTTAGTTCTGACCGACCCGAGCCCGGACTTGTTCTCTTTTCAGGAATCTGATATTCGGTCGACCTCGGAGAATTGCATTCGGACTCTCGATCCTCCCCGATCGCTCCCGAATTTCAGTTTCAGGAACTCGAGCATCTAGCCCTAAAAGTTCGCTATATTTTCGCCACGGAGCGACTCTCGTAGAAATTGAACTCGCACCGGCACTCCACATACAATCGCCGCGTCGACTTGGTGTTCATTGGGAGTATCTCTCAAATCGTTGCTATCGTTCACAGCGGAGTGCCGTTCTGCTCTATCTTGCAATCCCGAAGCAATATCGGTAATCCCCGACCGAATCGCGTCCAGCAGCATGTGAACTTCATTCCCTCTGACTGAGCCCTGTTGCTTTCCACCTCGGGCCTTTTAAGCTCTTCCCCACTGTATTTTTCCCGTTGCGCTCGTCCCTCCTGTTCCCTCTCGTTGCTACTATTCGCTGCTCCGGAGACATCGACTAGTTCGCTCAATCAGATGCTGTGAAGCTGCGTCAGAAGCAGTTGTTGGACTGAATCCTGCTGCTCTTATTGAACACTCGCTTGCCTCTCTTGTTGTGGCCTCGACGTGAAGGCTGCACCCCCTCCACCAAGTCTGTTCTCGAGGCCCGCTGAATCCATGTACCAATCTGGCCAGAAGTGCATTATTCCCTGAGCGGAGGGAGTAGAGCTAGATCCCAGTAAACTGGTTGGCTGGTTCGTCTCCGAGAGAGCTTTCCACGCTGTCCGACAAACGGCTTAGACAACCCAATATTGTCATCCCGACAGACAAGCACTCCGTCCCGTACAACTCTTGCCCCTGCTTCGGTGACGACAACAATAACTGCAGCTACCAGCTGCGAGCCTCACAACCGCGGAAACGGATCGAGCCCGCCACAAGGCTCACCAGGATCAGGGCTCGGGAAGTCCTATCGATCCCGTGGGAGCCTACATATGGACTGAGACAGTCCCCTGTATGTTTCAGACGAAGGGTTTCGAAAATTTCCTCCCGGTGACGAATCTATGGATCGGGGCAGGACGCCGCGGAGCGGGAGACATATGTGGATATGTGCATGAATCAAGCGACTTTTCAGCAGAGATATCTGCTTACTTAGTTCTCGTCGTCTACGGAGTCCGTCTTTGACGGGTCAAACGTATTTTTATCTCCGCGGAAACCTGTATGGGTATGCATCGATATCGTCGAAGTGTTCTCTGCGTCGCGTCGCCGAGAACTCCATTCGACGTCGAGAGCAGTGGGATTTCGGAGCGGCAACGTAGTCACCGTAGATCGAGGCTCTGTCGACGTAGACCCTGCGAGGACTCGGGCATGAGAGAACGGGCCGACAGAGAGCATTGTCATGATCAAAGGCCCCAGCCCGCGCCGCTTGTTCAATAGGCTTTTGCGCTCGAGTGGAGTAATGTTATTGAGCAGGCTCGGACGTACACGTTGCAAATCGCGACGTCCTTTGAAGCCAACAACCACTCAACGAGATCAGGCGGGACGGGATCGATGGGCGAGCTAAGCGACGGATGCGAAGATTATCCTCGACGACGACGTGGGTTGACGTTACGATTTTTTCGCCAGCCAACAAATCAGACGAGTCGACCGTCCGACCGAATGAGTGATTGGATAGGACGGCTCACCAACGATATCACCGAGAAGAGCTCTCGCCGGGAGCCAATCGAGAGGCGTTCCGCGCACATATCCTAGAAAGTAAAAGGAGGGGGCTAGCGAGCGGGCGGACGGGAACGCAGAGCGATGCACATGCTCGATCGCCCTGCCGGTCGCCCGTCCGCCCCTCCGCTCGTCGTTCAGCAGCGCTTCCGCCAGGCCTCGCTAGCCCATCATGTAAACAGGATCTCGGCAGGACATCGACAGACAGTGGCGGCGTTGAGCACAGGATGAGGAAATGACGTCATTTGTTAGCCTCCTTTATCGATATCCGATTAATGGGAGGCGCTCACCTGCGGGACAAGCGTCATCGCATTGCGAGTCCCCCCCCCGATTCGCGCCCGACTGGCGCCACTCCACTCAATCCGTGGGTAGTCGTCGCGTCGTCGTCGACGCCGCGCCTTCTCGGTCGCCGATGTATTCTCGCTGCCTTGAATACGCAGGGAAAAACGGACCCAGATACATAGATACACACATACGTATGCGCGTTCGTATGTATGTATGTCTCATACATCAGAATATTCTGGAACGACCAAAGACGTGCTCGCCAAAAGAGAATGATATTCCGGCCGTCTATCTCCCTCGTGTTGGGCCTCCTTCGAGAACGATTGTGGAATAGACTATTCGGTCTAGAGTCTCCTCTGAGCCAGGAACGCCGTCTGTGCAAGCGGAGCCGCGAGAGGCGGCGAGATCTCCTGCTGCTGCCGGCGCCGCATGTTCCGGCCTCCTTCCGGCCATAGGATGCGACCGGTGTCGGTTGACCGGCTTTTGTTTCGAGCGGAAATGAACTCTCGTCGCCGAGAACTGTTCCGATGGGAATATGACGGTGTAACAGGCTACGCGCGGCGGTCACTCGAGCAGACCTCGCCGGTGGGCTTCGTCATCACCTCGTTGTCCTACACCCTACCGAAGTAAACTGTCTTTTGAACTTTTCTTATCATCCGCAGACACACACACTCTCCGGCCGTGGCTGCGGGAAACCGCTTCATCATTGCGTTGGGGACACAGCGCCCACCCCGCTAACCCTCTTCCCGTTGGCAAGCTTACCAGCCCGCTCGTCGACACGGGCACGAGCGGGGACGACCGCGGGTTCAGCTGACTAAACTCGGGTAGGTACTTGAGTTCAGAGGAGAGGCGGGAGTCGAGCGAGCAGACTTCAACGACAGGTATGTGACAGGATAGACGCTAGAGCGAACCAGGATAGCTTCGCCGAACGTCGGTGGACCGAGCGATGTCAGCGCAAAAGCAGCTCCGTAATATGATAACATATTAAAGGATCTCGTCGGCCCGTCGGTCCGCCAGCTCGTTCGCTCCCTCACTCGTTCGTTCGCCTGAGAGGAGGATGGAGGGACAGCGAAATAGGACACTCCGCTTCTGTCCTCGTCGCTGCTTAGCGAGGCTGACTTGAGCCGCTCATCGATGAAGATGGAAGCGTGTCGGGTCGCCGGACGACGTGCGGAGGTTATTCGAAATCCAGCAAACGGAATTCCTGTTCCTGGACGTCCATTGACGTCGGCGACAACGAGCATGACCATCGCACCGAGAACTGCAAGAGGAGCAGCAGAGCGGCCCAGACGACGACGACGGCAACAATTCCCCATACGAACTCACAGAGCCAAAGCTGATGTATGGCAAGACCAGATAGTAAAAGGTTATCACCCGAATCGGTTGGTCGGGGGAGGGGGGCGAGCGGGCGGCTGCTTGCTAAGGCCAATCTAACTCTGAGCTGATAGCATGATGGGATCCCGTTTATTACCTCCTCTTCTCTCGCACTACTTTTTCTCAGTAACCCGCCCGCCTGTTCTGCAACCGGCCGGCCGAGCGAGGGACGACGGAGGGAGTTGAGCGAACGCCCTATATACGCTAGCTCGGGGAAAAGCCTTGTCCCGAACACTTCGCATCGAGTTGCTTCTGTGCTCGATCTATGTCTATATGCACATTTGCGGGAATCCGGTGTCCGACTAGAAATAACGGAATCACGGAATTCATCCGTGGGTTACGGTTCAGGAATGGAGCCCGAGGCCAAGCTCCCTCCGACGCCAGCTCTCGCTGTATCGCGAATACTTGGAATTCAGATGGGCTGGAAGCTCGCATCGGCAAAACTCGTCGATGTTGGCGAGGACGGACCCATAAGTGGATCAGACAGATGGCCTCACGAAGAGCTTGTTCAAATACTCGTCCCCCAATCCCGCTACGAGAACGCCCGCTCGCTTTCTCGACGCAGTCATAGAGCAGGAAACATATGTATGTATCTTCAGAAGGAATATATACCTACTCCGAGTGACGCATAAGTGCGTAGAGGAGGTCCTCGAACGGAATTCCGCGAGGGTCTGATGAGCCCGCAGCGGAGAAGTCGGAGCAAAGCGAGGAGACCGAATCCGGCTGACAAGCCGTGCGTCGTCGTTCTATTTCGTCTCTTCTACCCCAACTTTTTATTTCAGCTAGCTTGTGCTGGAATGGGATCCGGGTCCCTCTCTCGCGGAGCGAGCGCTTCTTTTCCTTCTTCCCGGTTCCTTTTAGCTCCCAATCGAAATGATTCTATTCCGGAATACGGAAAGAAGAAGAGGGAGACGACGACGACGGCCGACGGTAAACGAAGGATTGGACAAAAAGAATGGAAGCAGCTCAAAGAAGCGGTAACGGTCGTATGGACGAATGAAAGCCATAACTAGCTCCTCCCGCACCGCTCCCCCCCCCTCCCTGCGGCCCCTCCTCCCTCAGAAAGTTCCAGAGGGTTTCTCGCTTGGCTTCGCCGGGATGTTTTCCCTCTGGTTAGGTCCGCCATCGGGCATTCTCGAGCTGGACCAGAATGGAATTTCAGCTGGGAGCCATATCGTGTTCGAATAGAATTTCTCTTTGCAACGGCGAAAATAGTTCCGGCCGCTTGCTCACCCGTTTTGAGAGAACCGACTTCTGACCTACGTGCCCAGCGGCCTGTTTGCCGAGCGGCCCAAGGATACGAAGG